TTAGCACAAATTTGCAGTAAGTTAGTACGATCGCACGGTAACTGCGATCTGAAGCTGTCACTAGTTTGACATACGTGACCTTGGTCATTACGGCCTACCTTGGCGGGAAGGCGACGGTGACGCCAGCTTTACCGACCCAGGTGAGTTTATTTATATTATAGCATAGCCTGTAGGTAGTTTATAGGCTATAGGTAGTTTGGGCGTATTTGACTCTATAGACGCCCAAATTCTTATGCTGTTGATTGATTATTGGGACCAAATTGGGACTGGGAGAAGGGGAGGCAGCCGCAGGTGTCAATTCTGACTTCTGACATGTAAAATGTAGGTACCTAGGTAGTGTAGCAGGCACTTGGCTTGGTAAGACTAAGTACCTACCAACTGCCAAATGCTTTTGGCTCATTAGGCGCCTGTGCCTGAGCCTCTGAGGCTCTTGTAAGTCTGAAATATGGAGTTAAGTGATGGCTTAAGCTGAGGGAGTGATCTAGCATTGATTATTAGGGTGTTGATGGTGACTTGTAAACGACTCAAATTTTTTTTGAGTCGATTCTTTGTTTGAGTCGGAAATTTTGAATCGATTCATCAAATGACTCATGATGCTAAATTTAATCGATTCGAATCAACTCATGACTCATCAAGTTCCTCGATGAAGTGATTCGAATCAACTCACGACTCATCGAAAAATGGTTTGATTCTGAGTCGATTCACGAATCAACTCAGAGTCGTTTACAAGTCTGCCGGAAATGAATATCGGAAATGAACTTCCGGATAGGGTCGGCTCTGCCCGCGGCGCCCACACCGCGCCTGTGCGTGGGCCGGCTTCCGGTTTTCGTGTGAGGGTGCCGGACGCACGCGCGTGTCAACTGACAGACTCGACACAGAGTGTTGACGGCACCGCGGGGTTGACAGGGGGCGACGGGAGGTGCGAACGACCGACGGGCGCGGCGCGGGCTCTCCCCGGGCGGTGGGGATGGGGCGGCAAGGGAGGAAGCGGAGGCGAGTGCCGGAAGCATGTCGTTTCCGGGTTCTGGCTACCGTGTCGCCTGCGCACACGTTCCGTCTCCATTCACCTGGGGTCTAGCACCGCAATGACAGACCTGACACAACACCCGTCAACAGCTCGCCGCCGCAGCCGACAACGGCGCCCGTCAACACGGCCATTGTAGCTATCAGCGACATAGCAGACCATCGAAGGAACACGCAGAAAATGGAACTATGGACGAAATGACGACGCATGAAAGGCACACGTGTGCTTTGATTTAAGTCCATTCCAAAGCTTCCAGAAGCTGAGCGCATGTGGGTACCTATTCAAAATGTCACGAAAGCTGTCTGTGGGCCGTCTAAAAAAACAAACATATTATTGAGGCAGCTTTGGTTAGTGTCCGAGCCCCTGATCTAACACAGCGGCCGCTGCTGGTCGTAAAGTGTCACCCCATCACCAGGCTGTTGCGGACCGGGCTGCCGCCGTGTCCCGGGCTGCACGCTCCGCCGGCCGTCACGCCGTCGAGCACGGCGGTCCCATTGAGCCGGACGGCCTGAATGGCGGCGACACCGTTACCGCGCTCGGGACGGACGGGAGAGCGACCGGTCCCGTAAGGAGCGACACGAGCTGACGGGCGGCTCTCTCCCGTCTCCGGAGCGGCGAGAGCCACTGCCGGATGTCGATGAGGGCCTGAGCCGTCCCACCAGGTCAGTGCCGGGGTCGGTCAGCTGGAAGAGCCTCTGGACAATGAGTCTCAGCAATGAAGAACGTAAACAAGAAGAAAAACAAGCTTTCAAGCAAGTCAACAACCTATTGCCTGCTGTGTTCCGTGATCGCTGTTATCTGGATCTACATACATAGCATCACTGTACTGAACTTTGGATCATAGAAACGCGAGCGGTCAGTGGCAAGGGGTACGGGTGAGGTTTGCACCGAGCAACAGCTCCGTCCCGGACTCGGGAGTGCCGTCCGCCGCCCCGCCGAGGGCTGCAGCGCTGTGCCGGCCGGTGTGTCGCGGGCGCCGCCCACCCGCCCGTGCGACGCCCACGACAGATGGCCGCCAGATGGGACACGCTCCCACGCGACACGGCGGCGACAGCAGTCGCGAGGCGCCGCACCCGGCTGACGGTCACCGCCTGCAGCGGGGCGGCGCCCGAGCTGCGGTATGATCACCGGGAGCAGCCAGCTACCCGGAGAAACCGCCCCCGCCCCCGCCGCCCACCGCCCGGCCAGGTCGGTAGAAAGCGGCCGCGTCGAGCGCCGACGGCCCGGAACAGCTTTTCCCGGAAGAAAGTACGGCGTTTTCTTGAGAGGAGGCTTCCGCTTCCGCGAGCGAGCGCCTTTCACAGAGCGGTGGTAAATGATGAAACACGAAGCAAGTGCCAGTCATGAGCTCAACACAATGGGCCAAATAATGACACACTGAGGAGAGAGCTGGTAATACACCAGCACATAGCAGGCCGTCCTGTATTGTGCGGAAATTCGCCAAATGCACGCATTCTTTACAGCATGGTCGGCCCCATTCAGCCCGCGATTGGCGGTCCGAGCTGAGCTAGGACCGCGCCGCTGCAGCCGCCAGCGGGGCCCATAGAGATGCAGCGTAGGAGTCGTCCTCTGACGACCTTTCAATGTCAGTCGATGGCCCGGCTCTCTCGGCTCCTGCGACACGTGACAGAGCAGACGGGTGTGACCTCGGGACGCGCTGGGCACATCCCGGCGCCCACAGGACGCCCACGGAACGCCCCGCGGGCGCCGCTCTGCACTTGCAGCGGCCGGCCGCACCTGCCCGGAAAGTCCACTCGGTCCGGACTGCGGGCGTCGCAGCGGTCAGAGACAGATAAAAAGGACACCGGGACGTTCCAGCTGACCGGCTCTCCACCGTCTCATCACATCATCATGAACCGGGTACCGACCAGGGCACTGCACAGAATATTATCCAAACTGAAGCGGTGGACTTTCAAAATAGCGTAACCACATCAGTTTATCCATGATATAGTGCGGTCTTCAAAACGAGAAAGGAAATTCCAGCCAAGGCTCGAGTTGAAAAAGTTCTAAAAAGTCCGAAAGCAGCCATGGTAGGAGTAAGGCCGACAGGATAGTGTGTTGCTGTTGCATAACTCGGCGCTACATTGTTCATAGCGGGGACTAAGACTCGGCCCGCGCGCTGCGGCCTGTCCGACCCGCCTGGCGCGTCCGGCCCGAGCCGTCTCCGTCTCCGGCCGGCCGAGCGGCGGGCCTCAGCGATGAGGTCACCGCTGGCTCACAGCGGGCGGCGCAGGTGGCCGGCCGGCCGGCCCAGAGCAGAGGCCGAGCGGGTGACTGCAGGCACGTCACTGCACGGAGCGAGCCGGCCGACCAGCCACGCGCCGCACAGCCCACGGTTCCACTGTCCAGAGCCGCCCGACCGGCCACGCGTTACGTCCGAGGGACAAGTGATTCAGCCGGGGATCGCCTCCACCGCTCTGGCTCCCCATAACAGGAGGCCGCAGCTCCTTATGGGAGAGACGGTCGATCCGGCCCGGCCAGGGCCAGTCGCGCCATCCATCTGTTTATCTTTGGATGTCGTATAAGGAATTCATTCAGATTTACTTCAGCGACATTTACGTACCAGCCCACACGGCCTGGACGTGGAGAACTCTCCTCTAAGGGCTCCAGCCTTGTCGGCTGAAGTGACTAATCCTTGTAGGCCGCCGGCCCCACGCCATTGTAAGCGTTCGTCGCTTGGCAACGCACACGCATAGAAGGGTAGGTAAGTGGGGGAGCCTCCACCTGGGCGGGGCGGGGGGGGGGGACACGTCGCTGGGCATCCGATCCTGCCCAATCAGGGGACAGGCGGAGGGGGGGGGGCGTCCGTCGGGACGTAAATAGACCGGGGTGGGCAGCCACGAGCCGTGAGTCACCGCGGCGATATACACGGCGGGGCGCGGCGCGAGGGAGCACGCATGAGTCACGCACACGCACGGTCGCACCCTACTCCCCGGCCGGTCACCCAATACGGGGAGGCAGGGAGGGGACCAGGGGAGGGGTGAGGGCAGGGTGGAAGCCCGGCGAGCCAGCCAGACGGCCCTGCTGGATGGTAGTGCTGCGCGGTGTGCCGATAAATCTGTCGGCCGTTTACCGCCGCCTCTGGCGACTGCTCGGCGCGGTCCAGACGCGTTCCATGCCGGCTGCACTGGCCGCTGGCGGTGCGGCGCAGTCTGCCGGACCCTGTCCGTGGAGGGGTCAGGGGTCGCGCTGAGTCACGGCGCGGCGGTATGCCAGCGAGCGGGGTCGCCGGTCGCCGGTCGGCCGCTCGGTAGGCACCCCAGCGGATCACATTCACAGGCCGACTCGGCGTGACGTCACCGAGCCGTTAGTCGCCCAGCGCCGCCAGTGACCTCAGCCGACACCGGGAAAAAGGGTGCAGTGACGTCAGCCCTTCTCAGAAACCTGGCCGCTCGACAATCAAATCACAAACAGTGCAGAGGTTCTGATGAAATATGACGGACCGACTTGACAAAACGATTGCGGCACCGGCTTTCCCAGAGCCGAGGCGCTGTCCCTCGGTGCACGTGTAGTAGGTATGACTTTATTTAATTACAGAACCGTTATGACTGACTGTCCAAAGTAATGCGCATAGGACGGTCACTGGAAGGTGAAGTCTGAAGCGGAAGCATAAAAAGATGCTTGGAAATGTGTAGATGCTCCAGGGAAAAGATGCTCCAGGAAATGTGTAGTCTTCCCAGAGTCAAATTGCTATTGGAACCCACCAAAAACCTCGCATACACCCAGCCCTAGGACTCTCCTTGCCCCCCTCTCTCTCTCTCTCTCTCTCTCTCTCTCTCTCTCTCTCTCTCTCTCTCTCTCTCTCTCTCCCCGCCGTCCTCGGGGTCGAGTGGTGACGTCACTATGACGCCAGCCGCTCGGCGTCTCGGACCCCTTCTGCGCCGTGGCGCCGCCTCGGCTGGGTGGTCTATTTTCACTGGTGATGTCACGCGCTCCGCCGTGGGGAGGAGGCGGCCCAAGGCGGCCCTTAGCTCACCTTTGAGCAGCACCGGGTCCCGGTTGTCCTCGAGCAGCGCGCTGAACACCATGAACAGCGGATGGCCAGACGGCAGCAGCTCCAGGTCCGAGGTGCTCTCGTCACAGACGATGAACTCGCGGAACGTCCTGCGCTTCAGCAGCTCCTTGGCCTCCTTGTTGGAAGCCAGCTCGGCCAGCGAGGCCTTTCCCAGCTGCAGTCGTCTCCGGTTGAAGCGGTCCATGCAGTTGAGGTTGATGGCGCCCTGGATGTGCGACGTGTTGAACGCCATGAACGGTCGAACATCCAGCAGCACGAAGGAGTTGTTGCCGCCCGAGGCGAGCCGCTTGGACAGCTCGGCGCTGCTGCACTGGCGAGTCCGGCTCAGCACCATCGTCTTTTTCATCTCCGCTGCCTCGGCGCTCGGCGAGGCGGGCAGGGAGCTGGTCACCGGCCGCGGCGCCACTGGCACGCTCGCCTCGCTCGGCGCACTGATGCTGCGGCAAAAGTTCAGTTTGAGACCGTCTCGCTTGGCGTCACCGCTGATCATGGCGGTCTGCGCGCTGCACGCTCTCCGCACCGGGCCGCGGCGTCCACTGGCGGCCGACGCCGAGCGACCAGCGCCGCCGGCCGCGCGGCGAGGTAAACAATCAGCTGACTGCGCTCCGCCGCCGCCGTCAGCTGGTGATTCACGCCGAGGCCGCCGGCCAATGGGAAGCCAGCGCCGCCCGCTCGCCCGAACGGCAGGAAATAGACAATGAATGGGGCGGGCTCGGCCCTCGGTACGCATTGGCATTGCAACACACTACACACAGTGACATGATATTTGGCAGCCCGATTTAGTACCCTACATTGCCACAGAATCCAACCATCGTCAGCTGCCAGGAACAAGAGCTAGCCTGCGCCTACGAGACTCGAAACCTGACTGCGAGCATCGTCCGCAGGATGGTCCTCGCTGATGATGGGCAAAGTAATCGGTCGTGGACAAATACTCATAACGAGCCAAGGTAGCTGATAACATTTTTGCGCGGTATTCGACATAGGCTTCAAAGTTTTGCAAAAGGACATCATTGAGCGTTTTGCAGCACCGTTACTATATGTCACTTGGCTTCAATCGCGAATCAAAAGGCCTCTTTCGGCCTAACACAACCGCATTAGCATGACACCAGTCACGGAAGAAGTGTCATTTCGATCGATATCGGCGATATCAGCATCCGACCGAAACGTGAAAAGTAATGGTCTTGCGTTCAACCGTTTTGACAGTCCAAAAGGTTAAACTGCCACGGGCCCACCTAGCCAATTGTGTTGGTTTATCGATCACCTACTACCGATAGCTGTACGAAGTACCGACGGTTGTCGTTTGTCAGTATGTGCCACTGAAAATGACGCCTTCTTGACGCAAACTGACTGAAGTTTCGCATAAAACGCACTTAGTACGACTCTCATATAGTTCGGCTAATAGGTATTGTCAATCTGATTTGTTCCAAATGCAGCCATCTGCAGGCAAGGATTGTCCGTCATCTCATATATTTTCACTCAAAACTTAACACTGGACATTCGGTCTGTCTGCCCAGACTCGGTCAGATGCACGGCATACAAGTCATCAAACACTAGCGAAAAACTACTGGTCCAAATACAATGCTGCAAATCTTATCTAAAAAAGTTCACATCATAGTAACAAGGTTTGAGATTGTGAATAGCTGGCAGAACCTCTCACGGAGCAAACTTCATAAGTACATACTGGAATAATAATTAACCGTTCTAAAAGGCAAGTGGAGTAAGTGGACGTGACGTAGTATTAGCTCACAGAACAAAGAAAACCAGAAAAATAGTGTTTAATGTATGCTTATATAACAACAACACGATGATAAGTGAGCATGACTAAAGGCTGAGCCAGATACGGGGGAGGTGACCTATAGTCAATGAGATGTGGTTAGATGGTGCACTATGAAGCGGTGTTATCTGAATACAAAGCCATGATGGGTTCCACCGACAGGCAGTATGACGGCCTCCGAAAGCGCTCAGCATTGGTCCCAAAACTGTCAACATGGCAGCATCTGCCGCGATATGGCACCAAGTCGTCGCTTGAGACGACAAACCGTAACAGCAGGCACTCACAATAATCAGGTCACTCTGGTCGTGCAAAAACATACCTCAGAGCTGCATTATTGTCGACAAAGTACCAGGTACAGGGCTCCCTCCTCTCCGTCCGAGTGACCCAGGTCACCGGGAGGTCACCGCGCAGGACCGTCAGTCCAGGCGGAAGCGGCGACACAGGATCACCGACCACAGGAATGTCCCAGGAATGTGTTCAGGACGATTCCCGGGATTCTGCTGGGAGGGGAAGGGAGCGGTCACACTGGGAAACTCCCGATGAGACATAATATTTCGTAACAGCGCCGCCGCTTCCAGAAACATGACGTCAGCGCTCTCGAGGCATGGCACGCACGCAGAGCTGAGGGGGACAGACAGTGACTGTCCCCACCTCTCCACTGACGCACCCTCCCCCCCCCCTCCTCCGACTGCCGCACAGTCCGACACCAGGCCCCGGAAGACGAACGAAGATACCCACTGGGTGGTACGGCGGCTCACGCTCGGCCCGGCGGACCCGTCGTCGGCGTCCCTATGAGCGTGACACGCGACTTGGAGAGGTCGGTCGGCTCCGAGGCGCACGGCGGCTCGCCCGCTGAGGGAGAGAGTGAAATGAGGTGTTAGACTCAACCTGTCAGGGGCAGCAACTGGTGGGGGAGTGCAGAAAAAAATATCACCAGAATGCAAATACGTTTTATACGAATACGTTTTGATGTAGTTTTGAGCCATTCAACCACACCAAGTCACTTCAAAGTTGACAAACCGATTCCAATGCTTAACAAGCTGAATGAATCGTTTCGAGTGATTCCTATCAATCCAAAATAAAGTGCTTCCATATTCAATTGTCAGTTTTAGTCAAAACTGATTACCGATTTCATTGTCCACTCGGCGTATCACGGATGAGGGACTGTTGACCGGTCAGTAACGACCTCAGTTTGAGGGGTGGGGGTCAGTCAGTGCTAGTGATCGCTTTTGTGTGAGGGTGGGGGTAGTGTGTCAGTGGTGACCCGTACCGATTTCACAGGCCACTCGGCGTATTACGGATGTGAAACTGTTGCCCGGTCAGTGTAGAGCTCAGTGTGAGGGTGGGGACGGTGTATGTCAGCGGTGACCTCTGCATAAGGGGTGGGTCAGTGTAGAGTGTAGACCTGGGGTTGGGGCGATGCATGTCAGTGGTCAGTGGTGACCCGTACCGATTTCGCTGGCCACTCGGCGTATCACGGATGTGGGGCTGTTGAGCAGTACCAGACCCTCCGGCAGGGACTGTGAGTGGGACGCGGTCTGCAGTGGCGACGACCAGTCTGTAAGACACGCCACAGACACACCGTCAGCCATCGGTAGTCATCGATTCAGCAAGGAGAGTCACAGCCATTGGCACAATCACAGTCAAAGTCACCGGTCTACAGTCACAGTCACATCTACACCAGTATACTAACAAATAACACACATAGTCGTACATGACACAACGCTAGTCACTGATGACACATTGGCACGCAGACTAACTATGTCACAACGCTACAGTCACACATGACACATTGCCACGGTGAAATCTAGCACAGCAGTACACTCATCAATGACACACCAGCACAGTTACTGGTGACACAACACTGTAGTCAAACATGACACATTGCCACGGTGAAATCTGACATAGCGGTACAGTCATTGATGACACACAAGTGAACAGTCATATATCAAACAGGCAGTGACATGCCACAAACGGCAGTAGTCATAGAAGACACATTAACAGTCACTGATGACGCGCTGTCAGTAAATGATACGAGCCTGGGCGCACGACGTCCTTGATGGATTGGACATTGGCTTAGACCGTGCCCTAGTTCAATGTGGGCTCAAGCCTTAATTGGTGAGGACGCTCGACTTGCACGCCATGTGTGGTCTATAGGTTGAATACGGCCCGAGGCCGAATACCCTTACCGAACTTCAGAATAATACTCTCCACGAGTTTTGCATACTGAATTTGTGCTGAAAATCGTTTTTTAGAACTCTTTAGTACGGATATCCGGTGACAAAGAGTGGCTATTTGTGCCCGGTGTCAGTGGGCGTCACATGTTTGCCGTCCATCCGGTAGCTCTGGCTGATACGCCGCCCCAATCGCTTCCGGCCCACCCAGCGCCCCTATCACCCCAACGTGACGTCACAGCCCAGTAGTGCGCGCCGCCGCCGCCAGAGGCGCCACTGAGCAGCGATAGGCATTGGGACGCCGCTGGCAGCGGGCCGATAACACTGCGGATATGGGGCAGGCACAGGGCACACTCAATCGGTACACTCGGGACGGGGCTGAGTCACCCTGAGATGAGTGCATTGCGTAATGCACAGGGCATGACGCGGCACGCCTGGTTTCTAAGAGTGGTGCGCGGGCACGTCGGTTCGACACCAAGGAATAGGTACCCACAAGGAACAGTGGCATCGTCCCGTGAAAAATCAGTAAGTAATCAGTGAGAAGGAAGGTGGGAGGCGCCTTCAGAATAAGACGAAACTCGATGCAAGATGAACCAGATAACAACAACGCTCCTGTACTGTTAGGTTAGTGCCCTGGGTTCCATTGGGGTTACTTGCTTCACCCAGTTGCGCGCTCAGTGGAAGTGAAAGTCACGCAATGCATCAGTAGATCGCTATCAAGGATGAAAATCATGTCCAATACAAATCCAGGCGATTACTTTAAATCAAATAATTCATGACAATGTCTTACTATGCCGAGTTGCTAGTTCATTAGCACTTATGTTCGGCTCAGACGTCTCGATCCGCCATGGAGAAGCAGCGGACACTGGTGGCGACAACACATGACCAGCATGACATTCAAGAGAGAAGTCCAGGCAATGAAAATAATCATGCTTCTAAAAAAGATGGTCACACAGCAATCTCACTCCGGGTTTGGAAGATTCATTACCGTTCTTCGACCGTGTTCGGGGCTGGAAAAACACCTGGGTTCGTTCACTGTGATGAGCCGAGTTGACAATTTCACAGATGGCGATGCCGAGCCGTCCGACGTGTTCGTTGTAGGTGACGCTCCAGTCGGAGAGCCACACCGCCATGGCTGGTCGGAGCAGAAAAGTCTAGCACTGCAAACGCAGGTCACCTGCCGCTGACATCCCCAAAGCGAATCTGTATGACAAAGTCATCTCCAATAACTTGCAACATCCAGCAGGACCTTACACCATTCGACTGCCGCGGATGAGCGAACGATACTCCACAGTGTGGGACCACTGAGGAGCCGAATACGCCGCAATAGCTGTGCTGCTGTACAAAGGCAAACACGATTAGGTCGGGCCAGAAGTCACCCGAACGTAATCGGTTTTGCCTTTGTACGGAAGTGTTGCACCGGTGCCCGGGCAGAGGTGGCCATTTGACCCAATCAGCATTACATCGGCCAAAGCCACGGGAAATCAGGAGGCACTCCACAGCCGTCCGGGTTACCAAATGATTGGGGGAGAGGAGAATATCACCAGCAGCCGAAATGAAGAATCCCGTCCGATGGAAAGCTCGAATGGCATTCGTGTCTATGATTTCGGATGCCCTAAATACGAATCAGTCTGGAGCTAAGGCCGTGCGCCTGTAATGCGCATTATCCTTCGCAAGATGAAATACAAGCAAAAAGTGCCACCATGCGTTCAGACCCAGTTACTTTCCAAGGGAGTAACTAGTCTAGTGAGTCTATATAGTTTCATCGTCACCAACCACATCGCCACCAGGGTTGTGCTTGACTCGTGAGTCGAGTCAGAAATTTGACTCAACTCTGACTCAAATGAGTCAGATTTGAGTCGAGTCGGATAAAATGTTGAGCTGTTGAGTTGAGTAAGAGTTGAGTCGGACAAAAATATTAAGTCGTTGAGTTGAGTCAGTAAAATAACTTGACATTGAGTTGAGTCAAACATTTAATATGAGTCAGCTGACTCAACTTAACAGAATTATATATATATATATATATATATATATATATATATATATATATATATATATATATATATATATATATATATATATATATATATATATATATATATATATATATATATATATATATATATATATATATATATATATATATATATATATATATATATATATATATATATATATATATATATATATATATATGTTACAGGGGGTATGAGAAATCAGTTAGTTTGCAAACTACCTAGGGAGTTTGCAAACTCCCTGAACGATCAGGTAGTTTGCAAACTCCCTAGGTAGTTTGCAAAGTACCTGGTCGAACAGGTAGTTTGCAAACTCCCTAGGTAGTTTGCAAAGTCCCTAGTTAGTTTGCAAACTCCCTAGGGTTGTTGCAAACTACCTAGGTAAAATGCGAAAACGACGAAACAACAGCCATATACGAGTACATACCGGGTGGCCCAGAAAAAACGTTCCCAACTTCAAATCAATATTTCTCAGAAAATGATAAAGACACAACATTGAAACTTCCAAGAGTCAATGCGGCATATATTTTCAGTAAATTGTATTATTTGTATGTTATTCGGGCAATTACCTTTTAAATGGTTCGTGTTTCTAGCATGCCATGTAAAAATTACTTTTTTGCTCAGATGTTTACTAAAAAAAAAATGTGAGTGAACGGGCCACTTCCATCTCCGTACCACGGCCTGCAGCCATGACTGCTACTGCTAACTAGCCTCACTGATTGTTCAGGCCTTAGGGTGGCACATTCCCTGTAGCTTTTTTCCTTATTCGGTCGATTTACTGTTTGATCTTCCTGAAGGGAGGGCTTAATGGCAGCAGTAACCCATGCACCGCGCCACTCCTGCTCGAAACAGGACTCTGTTGAAACGAATGGCATCCATTAACACCATTTTGGCTCAGTATTTGAATATTCGGCACATAAGTGGGACAAAATATTTAAAATAACAACACACGTGCTGGTTTCATTCGCGTGTACCATTTTTCTATTTTTTCCCTTTCATGGTACGTCTAAGCCAATCATCACTACCGTCCAACATCGGCAAAAAAAAGAAGCAAAAACGTCTTACTAAAGTCAACATAAGATTGCTGGCTTGAAAATGATGATAGAGTGTTATAATTTGGCATACCAATGCGCAAAGAAGTGACGCAAACTTTATGGGAATTTTGGCTCGTTATTTGCACTCAAAATTGAGATATAGGCCTCCAAAGTTATCTCCATCTACCCTGTATGTAGATGAAACGCTATGCATTGGTTCAGAGCTCAGAATGAAGCTTGGCAGTGCATAACGAGTCGATGTGGTGTTTTGATGACGCTCTTTCGCAGCTTACTATTTATTTTTGTCTTGCTCGCAAATATCACCTTACACATTAATGTCTGCCTTTTCTCTTGTAGTCGACAACATGCTACGTTGCCATCCACCTCCTTTCCTTGGACGTCAGCGGCCTCTCCTCCACCGGTCTGG